TGACCCCCCCCCCCCCCTGCAAAAGTAAATAAATAAAAAAATAACATGTTAGGGTAGACTATAAACCATGAAAGTATAATGTACAGAACCCAGATATCACCAAAATAAATTACAAAATTAAGCATATAGCTGTTCATAAAATGACATGTACTGTAGGTTGATTTGGAATAAAGGGTGTGTAAATAGCAAAGATAATGCACAAACTGCAGTAACATATTGCAATGGTGAATACTTGTGTTTAATGTTCCTTGCCTTATTCAAAAAGCCGGATGATGCTAACAGATTAGTGTTCATAACCCAAGTTCTGGTCTTCATAGCTAAAGTGATTACTACATGCTCTTAGAAGCAAAAATTGTTGTTTTTGTTTTTTTAGATGTTAATCTGTGTAAAGTAATTTTCATTATCAATTAGCATAATAAAACCATTCTTCTTGATCTTGTAGATTTGGATCTTGAAGGAAATCTTCTTCAAAAACTTCCTGTTGAAGTAGGTCTCCTACCCAAACTGAAAAAGATAAATTTATCTAGAAACAAGTTTGAAGTATTTCCAGGAGAGCTTACAAAATTACAGGGCATGGAGAGCATCAATTTAGAAGGCAATCAGATCAAAGGTAAGTGACAAGTTGACTCTACCATATGCATACCATATGTTGTCCTCATAAATAAGAAACTTTCCCTTGAACATTGATGTAAAGCACCATTACTTCAATGTTTTATATTACATACCTATATAATCCATCTTTACATTTTTAAAACTGAGTATCCCCTTATATGGATTGGGGCAGTGGCGGACCTAGGGAACAAAGGCCCCTTGTGCAATCCCCCCCAACCCATATCCCCTGTAGCAACCACAATAAAAAAAATTGGAAAAATGGCATTACTGTATAAAGTACAGCTGAGATTTGTAGTCCTCTATAGAGGGTGCCATGCAGAATGGGACCTGCTATATAGAACTACAAATACCAGCAGTATTTTATACAGCAATGCCATCAATTGGGCTACAAAAAATTATATTTTTATTTAATAGCTTATCTTTACCTCCTCTGGCTGTTTTCTGGTGGGGGAGGCTGCATAAAACCACCCCCGTGTGTGTGTGTGCCCATCTCAGACAGCGAGCCCGTGCACTCAGGCAGCTGTTTGCTGGGTCCTCACGGCCGAGGCCCGGGGCTGCCCCCTGAAGTGCCTGCAGTTTCCGACACTCCCGGCGCAGAGATGAGGGGGCCCGCCGGATACCAATGTGATCAACAGACACTCCCGGCGCAGAGATGGGGGACCCGATCCGATGGTAACCGGCAGCCGGACCCGTCTCTGCCCCGTGGCTGTGTTTGAATGGATACTGGGCCCCCTGTAGGCTCAGACCCCGGTAGTTCTGCCACTGGGTAGGGGATCTACTTCATCCCTATTTTTAAGATTTAATCAAATTATGAAACTACAAATGGAGCGCTAATCTTATCTTGAAGTATATAGTCTTGTATCTAAATCCATAACTAGGAATACAAAAATAATTCTAAGAATACATCATTCCTTAGATAATAAGCAAAAATGTCGGCCCAATAGCCAGGAAGACAAAGTCCCAAGAAGTAAAGGTGCATTCAATACCACATATCTGTAATTGATTAAAAAATCTAGGGGTTAATCAACCCCTATTTATCTTGTTAGAGCTAAGCTGAAGCAAAATAAAAAAGGAAAAAACAGTAGCTGAAAATAATGTCTGCATATTAATTTGTGTACAACTGTGAAGGCCTTTTATGAAGCACTAAATTCTTCTTTACATCAGAGATGATAATAAAGAATAAATATTTTACATAAAACATGTAAGTATGTGGAAACTTTTGGTCTTATGTGCATACTTTCCAGAATTTGAAAATATCCCTAATGATTTTAATGACTCTCAACTTCTTTGTGATTCTGCAGATATAAAATGTACAAGTCAAGCATAATAGCCACAGGAGATAAGAACATACTTTAGGAATGTAATCTGAAAATGTATAATGTTCATTCAAACCAACAACAACAACACTGTGCAGTGTCTTGCTGTGCTGTTCGGCAACCCGCAAATGCTGCAGTGCCGTCCGTCCGTTTTTTTACTACGGGCGGACGGCAAGTGGTTAAATATTCTTTTTAAAGCTATTTTGTTTACTTAGTGACATTGTACAACTATGTACGTGCAATTATGTACAGGGTGCAGAACAAAACTTTTTAGAAGTTTCTTGTAGGACAACCAGTAAAACATGCTTTCTGATTGTCTGCGAGCGATCACTGTATAGCAGTCATTGACTTTCAGAGAATAGAACAGGAACGTTCATAGATCAAATGGCCAAATCAAAACTAAAGATGAACGATACAGGAATGGTTATTGTTAGGGTTGCACCAATAACGTTTTTTAGGTATTAAGTTCGAGTACCGATATTTTTTTTTCGGTACTCGCTGATACCGATTACTGATACCGGAAGTCCCATTAAGGAAGCCAGGTGGCATGTAATGGGTCATCACCTGGCTTCCTGATTAGCCGGGAAGCCGGACGGCATGTAAAGACTCGCCACCCGGATTCCCGATTAGCAGGGAAGCCATCTCCATGCTTCCTCATCACCAGGTGACAAGGTAGCATGAACCTGGCTTTCTGGCCAATCAGGAAACCGGGGGGGGCGGGAAATGACTCGCTGTCTGGCTTCCTGATTGGCCAGTTTCACGACCAATCAGGAAGCTAGGCGGCGAGTCATTACACGCTACCTGGCTTCCTGATTGGCCCATGAAGCCGCCTCCATGCTCTCTCGTCTCACCAAGTGACGAGGGAGTATGGAGCTGGCTTCCTGATGCTGGAAGTTCGGGTATCGGGCTAGGCGAGTACTCACCCAAATACTGGGTATCAGTGCATCCTTAGTTATTGTATTAGTTATTTGATTTTTGCAAATGCAAGCAGTAAGTAAAGCCAATTAATTTACGGAAATATATCTATGCTAAAGTAAGAAAGACCTCCCAGTTTTCCTTAATCTTAGTTTTATATAGTCCATTGCAGCTGGCAGGCTACTCTTACTGCTGTTAGGCTGCATCTGTATGCTTTTTTTCATATGTGTCTGTATAAGTAAAACATAATTGCCACAGGAAATAATAAGCGCTTGCTTGAGAAGTGTTATCGGGGGAAAAAATGCTGTTAGTTGTTGAAATGTTCTTTTCAATCTAGAGTGCTTGCTTAGTGACTGCACAAATATATACTTATATACAGAATGCAAAGCAAAACAGATATCAGTTTCTGGCAGTTTCTTGTGGGACAACCAGTAAATCATGCTTTATAATTGTCAGCTAATAGTTATTGTTTAGCACTCATTGGTTTTTAGTAAATAGAACATTCATAGATCGAATGACTGGCTTAAAAAAAAAATCTGGAAAACAGGAGGTGTGGTTAGTGTCACTTAAAAATTAAGTTATGAGCAAACAAGTAATACAATGTTTTGAGTTTCAACTACGGAAATGTAATTGTTTTGATAGAAGTATTAAGTAAAGTCAGTAAGACAGCTCAGTTTTCCTTAGGATCTGCTCACACCAAAATTGTAAGGAAATCGCAAGTCAACGGAGGGTCGGTGCACTTGCAATTTCAGCCTCCATTGAGTTCTGTCCCATTACGGGTTTTTTCCCCGCCAATTTTTATTTTAATGAACATCTATGGGTTTTTTTTTCACTTCTGTTGCATTTCGATTATATCCGTTTTTGTTACATGCTCTACTTTTTTTTCATCACACTGCAACAGAACAGATTGCAGTGGTGTGAACTGGTCCCATCCACGCACGTTCATTTTTCGGTGCACTTGCATTAGCATTCGTTAAAAAACGTAGTGCAATGCAACGGATCTGGTGTGAATGGGGCCTTAATCTGATTTTTATATAGTCTATTGCAGCTGTATTCATCAGGTTATTTTATTGCTGCTGACCCAGGCCTTCTCTGGCCCGCGTGTCTCCTTTGGCCCAACCGGTTCCTCCTTAGCTACACCCCGTCCCTCCTCAGTACCGTTCCACCTCTGCCCTACCCCATTCCGCCTCTGCCCTGTTCTGCCTCTACCACCCCCCCACCCCCATGCCTCCGCTGCCGTCTCGTTCCTCCTCTGCATCTAGAGGCTGCTATTGGATATTTTAAAATGCAATAGCCAATAACAGGCTGGCTACTGCACCCACCCACTGCCTGCTGTCAATCAGCAGAGGAGGACCTGATGGAAAACGTTCTCCTTCACGTCCCTCCTCTGCTCATTGACAGCAGGCAGTGTGTGGGTGCAATAGCCAGCCTGCTATTGCAATTTGAAATATCCAATAGCAGGCTGGCTATAGCTCCCAGCAAGTAAAAAAACCAAAAAAGGTTTAAAAAAATAAAGTTAACTAAACTAAAATTAAAAAGACTAAGAAATAAAAAAAACTTTAAAAATGGAAACAAATAAAGAATAATAAAGTTACATAAACTAAAATAAAAAATATCATTTTTGGTGTGTTATTTTAAATAAAAGTTTGGTTATTTTATTGGCTTAGAGTTTTATAATTAATATTTTTATCATTACCTTAAATACTTAAAATGTCTCTTTATTTCTGCCTTCCTCAGTAGACACCTATTAAAACTTGCAGTTATCGTCTCAAGCTATTATTATTTAAAGGATAAGTGATAACTAGTGCTGTAATCTTTGTGAATTGATTCCTACATTTAATTGTTATCATAACAACGATTAAGATAACTCTGACTGTGCAATAATGGCACTACTAGTAGTAAAACTAACAGAGCAGATATCTGTAAAAAATAAGTCAAGGCAACTGGACTTGCTGTATTTTTCTTGATGACGTTTCACTGGTCATCCAACCAGCTTTCTCAATTTTCATTCTGAATTGAGAAAGCTGGTTGGATGACCAGTGAAACCTCTTTAAGAAAAATACAGCAAGTCCAGTTGCCTTGATTTATTTTTTACAGACATACCATGACCTGGATGTATGAGAACCTTCACAGACACTAACAAGCAGGTTACACTAAACATGGTCTGCACTTTTGTGAATTGAATTTATAAAGATAAGAGCTATGTAATATGCGTTATCAAGAAAATAATGGCTGAACAAGAGAAAACGGCGCCTACAGACTCAAGACCATAAGACACAACATTCTCCCCCTATACAGATTACTAGTACAACTTTTGAAACTTGAAAGTGTGGAAAAAAAGGGCACTAAATTAATAAGTGGCATGGAAGATCTCATCTATGAAAGATTAACTGAATTAATAATAATCACCTTTTTGAAGAGACAATAAAGTAGAGGATACCATCATCTTGCATAAATATGTAAATGAGCCATACAAATTATATAGTGGAAATGTCTTAATTTTAAGGTCACCACTAAATACAAAAAGGTCCCCTTTGTTGCTGGAGGAAAAGAGGATTAACTTCCACACATGGAAAGAATTCTATTTTTTTTGAATCTTTGAATATGTATATTTAATGCTTTCAGAAATCTATTCAACCATTTTTAAAAGCACAAAATATACATAAATACCTATATTAAAAAATAATAATAATCTTAGAATGTTAAAATAAATTGCCTGGGCATCAAAAAGGATTTTTTTGTTTGATATTTTTAATAGGTTTGTTTT